ACTTCCTCTAAGATTGTTGTTGTTGTTATGTGCCATCGAGTCAATTGAGACTCATAGCGACCCTACGTACAGGAGCTCTAAACACTGTTCTATCCTGTGCCAACTTAGCCATCTCAAATGCACTTATTCCCACCGCTCCAGTCACAGAATCAATCCATCTCATCGAAGGTCTTCCTCTCCTTCGCTGCCCCTCCACTCTGACAAAAATGATGTCTCTCTCCAAGGACCAGCCCCTCCTTGCAACAAGCCCAAAATATGTCAGACGAAGCTTCAAAATCCTTGACTCCAAGAAGCATTCCGGCTTCACCTTTTCCAGGACAAACCTAAGATAGTTTTGTTATTTTTTGGGCACAGTTCATGGGATATTCAACACTCCTTTCCAGCACCACAATCCAAAGCCATCGATTCTTCTGTCTTCCTTATTCACTTATCATATGCGTATGAATTAACTGAAACCACGGCTTGGATCTGCTGCATCTTGGTCTTTAAACCGACATTCTGGCTCTGCAGCACTTCTGAGAGATCCTTGACAGCACATTTTCCCAGGGCAATAGGTCTTCTGATTTCTTGATCGCTGCTACCATGGGTGCCAATTGTGGATCTAAGCAAAATGTAGCCACTGACAACTTCAATCTTTTCTCTTGTCTACGTGACAGTGCCTATTGGTCAAGTCATGAGGATGATTTCTTTCCTTCTAGATGTTGAGATATAATCTATACATTTCCTCACAACGCAGCAAAAAGCACCCTGGATGAAAAATCAACAAAATAAAGCTGGTGGCCTTGGAAATTTATTCCCATGTACCTATCTCCACAACTAGAAGAATTAGTGAGGAAAAATGAATGTACAATCACCATTGTTTTTATTCTTTCTTTAACAATCAGCATTTTTGACTCAAGACAGGGAATTCTGGTCTACTTCCCATGAATACATCCAAGACGGCAGCCAAGCATCTCATGTGACTTTCTTCATTTAAACTGTAATGAAATCTGCAGTTCCCTCATCATACAGCCACAATTCAAGTGCTTGAATGTGGCACGTGGCTGCTGTTGTGGTTGGTACCACTATGCTATGCAAGGGGTTTGCTTCGCTGGACATGAAGACAGCAACTCAAACCCTGGGGTCAGATAGAAGCTGTAGCCTCACCCTTCTCCTTTTGTGTCCTGTGTTCGGGCTGATCAAAGTTGGCTCCAGAAGGCTCGTCAGCTTCTAGTATGGATGCAACAGAATTCCCATAAAGGTTGTCTTTGGCCAAATGCAAAATCAGAGACTATTACAGACAGTCCTTGGGGTACAAACGGGATCCACTCTAAATGTCGTCAGGAATTTGCAGGTCAGTTGGAACAGATATGCATGGTTCTTATTTAGCCTTCTTTTATGACAAGAAAAGGCTTGAAGGCTTTAACATGAATTAAGAGCTGCAGGCACAAGTAAAGGGGATGGTGATGAAAACTTTGTGGAGCAAAGTAGGGGTTCGCTCAGCCACTTCAAACTGAGGGGAAGTTCACCTAACATTAAGGGGCAAGTGGGAGGCGGACACTAAGTGACCTGGGCCTGGCTGTGCCTCACTGGCTCTGGTCATGTGAGAACCCTCCTTCCTCTCTAGGCATTCAAGTATCACCCTCTTTAATCTGCTGGCTTCTATTCTAGCCCCGAGCCCTGGCGCCACATCCTTCTTTGAAAGCTTACCCTTGTCTCCGTCCAAAATGCAAAGGCTGAGTTATCCCCTCTGCTTACTCGGCATCTGAAGAGGAACATTCTTTTACTCTGGGAGCCCTGTCCAGCTTTCAGAATCAATTTCTGCTCACTCACTCAAACGAGGACTTGTTGGCGCAAGCTGTTTGGAAATCCACTTACGCCTCTTAGAGCATATTAGTAAACAGTTTGTCTTGGCTGGGATGTGGCTTTTATGTTAGAGAAAAGGGAGTAAATGGAGGGGTGGGGAGAAACACCCACAAAAATATCATCCAACTAGCCAGTAAACATTTTCTAGAAATACATGGGACTACGTCTGTTCGCTCCCAGCTGAAGGGCACATAACAACGATACTGAAATGGAACTACACAAAGTCCTTCTTTGCAGATGTTGAGACAGTTCCATACTTGCAATGTGATTTTAAAAGAACAATCTGATGTCTCATTGCTAATGGAACTGGTCTCTCTCGTATGAACGTGACATATATCCCCTTGGGGACTGTGGCACTTCAGGTTTTCACATGAAAACAAACAGAAATAGTGTTCTAACACTTTTGCTTAGAATCCTTTGGAAGGGAAGGCACTCAAAACCTTCCTTTTTCAATAGCTCCCCCGAGGAAACACCAGGAAATTGCCTGCTATTAGAATCCTTCACAACAGATCTTCAAAGATTCCTTGCTAAGACAGAGTTTTTTCCTGGAATTTAACATAGGGCGAAAGCCACAGTCTCAGTGCACAAGATAATCAAGACCAGAGTTAAGTCAGTTTTGTTTATGAACAACTTACGCCTCTTGCTCATGTTGTTTGTTGCTGTTAATGTGTCATTGAGTCAACCACGACTCAGAGTGACCCTATGAACAATAGCTCTGAACCCTGCCCTATCCTGAGTCAATCTCACGGTCTCTGACACACCTGTGCCACTACCAGAGTCACTGTGTCAATATGTCTCATCCAGGGTTGTCCTATCCTGTGTTGACCTTCTACCCTTCCAAGTATGATGTCCTTCTCCAAGCACTGGTCCCTTCCAACAACATACCCAAAAGGCTGTGAGATGGAGTGTGGTGTCAGAAACCTTGAAAACTGGTTTTCCAATCTATTATGTTAGCCTCTGTTGGGGGCATGGTCTCCTGCTACCTAAACTGCAGACGTGGTTTTGAAATCATCAACAGCTGTGGGACCAGTATAAGAGAGCCCTTTCCACACCGTGAGAGTTGATGTTGGAGAGACTGTGGCAAGGTGTAACCAGAGGAACCCTAGAGATGGAGCCACAGTTAAAAGTTTCACTTGCTGGATGATAGAAAAAAAAGCTGACTTGTTACTGCTCTGAGATAAAGTTTGCTGGAAGACTGAGGAAACCACAGGGACATCTGGGCTACTGAATTTAACGTGGACTTTCATTAATGAAAGAATTGTGCTTTGTTAAGCTGGCCTTGTATTGTGTGATATTCTTGGCCTCCCCCACTTCCCAATCCATTTCCCTAATAAACCACACAACTAGGAGTAAAGTCTGTGAGTCAAATTGCAACAAACATTGCACCCACTGATTGGTAGAAAGAGGCATAGGGGCATGTGGGGTGGCATGTTTGACAATGCAGCTATTTGTTTGGTACTAGGGATGTTATTGATGGGGACAGTTCCCTTTGATGTAGTGAGTCAGATTTGCCTACTATCACATTGCATCTGCTCCTTTTACACATAGTATTAAAAATGCTTTGGTGCATATTAAAGAAATAATGTTTATCGCAGCTCTGTTCACAATAGCAAGGAGCTGGAAACAACCCAGGTGCCCATCAACAAACGAATGGGTAGAGAAGCTGTGGTATATTCACACAATGGAATACTATGCCGCATTGAAAAACAAGGAACTCATTCAATATTATTCAAAATGGGTGAGCCTGGAGGACATT